TAAATCATATAGATAGAACATAGGTAAATCATATAGATAGAACATAGGTAAATCATCATAGATAGAACATAGGTAAATCATCATATTAGATAGAACATAGGTAAATCATCATAGATAGAACATAGGTAAATCATATAGATAGAACATAGGTAAATCATATAGATAGAACATAGGTAAATCATATAGATAGAACATAGGTAAATCATATAGATAGAACATAGGTAAATCATCATAGATAGAACATAGGTAAATCATCATATTAGATAGAACATAGGTAAATCATGATAGATAGAACATAGGTAAATCATCATATTAGATAGAACATAGGTAAATCATCATAGATAGAATATAGGTAAATCATATAGATAGAACATAGGTAAATCATATAGATAGAATGTAGGTAAATCATATAGATAGAACATATGTAAATCATCATAGATAGAACATAGGTAAATCATCATATTAGATAGAACATAGGTAAATCATCATAGATAGAATATAGGTAAATCATATAGATAGAACATAGGTAAATCATATAGATAGAAATAGGTAAATCATATAGATAGAACATAGGTAAATCATATAGATAGAACATAGGTAAATCATATAGATAGAACATAGGTAAATCATCATAGATAGAACATAGGTAAATCATCATAGATAGAACATAGGTAAATCATATAGATAGAACATAGGTAAATCATATAGATAGAACATAGGTAATAGAACATAGGTAAATCATATAGATGTAGATAGAACATAGGTAAATCATATAGATAGAACATAGGTAAAATCATATATAGAACTGTAGCATAGGTAAATCATATAGATAGAACATAGGTAAATCATATAGATAGAACATAGGTAAATCATATAGATAGAACATAGGTAAATCATATAGATAGAACATAGGTAAATCATCATAGATAGAACATAGGTAAATCATCTGACCGTCCGTGTGTCTGTCTCCCAGTGTAGTATTAAAGCCACACCTATTTCAGTTTAGGTGTGTATAATATAAATAGCGTTAAAAAAAAACTTTCAACTTAAAATTTGTTCTAAAAGGTTTTTCCATTGGCGCGGGTAGATTTTGACGGGCCGTGGCGGCCATTTTGTTTTGATGACATGTATGAAATCTTTTGTTTATTATGTAAGCTCTGACAGCGCGCGACATGTTATACTCCCGTTCACTCGGGACCTTTTTGGCGGGAAAATTTGAAAATTAGCAAATTTTTTGCTATATTGCAAATTTTGCTATATTTTCACTTTGAGACAATATTTATGGATAAAACTTACAGGAATTCTTGTTGAATGTATAAACTATCGAATAAAATTATTTTTGGTTGCCAGAAATTGTAATAAAATACGTAAATTACCCTGTATAGCACAGTAGTAGTATGTACTTCAATTTTAGTGACAAAATTACTACTAATTTGAATTCTACACTTTTGTTTTTGGAGAAATTTATATCAAATTGTTTGGAAATATGTATATTTTCATGTTTTATGTGTTTCCATTCGTTACTCGTACCAAAATATAAAATATAAAGAAATTAAAAAAATTAAATATTAATATTTTATCTGTGTGACATTTAGAACAATATTTCTAAAATAGTTTTGTGTGAATTTGAAATAAATACAACGTCAAGTTATTTGAAATATGTAAGAAAACTATTTTTACTTACATTTTACACTAAAAATAAATGAGAATGTGAAAAATACCACATTTATGACCCAGCCGCCATAATTGGCCTTCCAGATTTTGAAGCACTTTTGGCAATTTACTTTTCACTTTTTATACCACAAATTATATATATATGTGTTCACTATATTACAAGGAATATAAAAAAGTATAATACTTTCGTTTTTAGTCCAGACACAAATATAAAATTCTATAAAAAAGACGGAACACCTTTATCAAAACGGCACGTGGAACGCCGAAAGTTCAGAGTGATTTCTTTTTTTTTTTTTCTAAGAAACATTGCCAGGTTATGGTTTAAAATAAAAGAGCATATCTTTGTCTTTGATACTAATATCTATTGCATAGTGTCTTTGGTTTTGTTTAAAACGAAAAAATAGTTTTTTCATAGGTAGACATGTTTACATAATTCTGATCTAATTCGATCACTACTTGGCGGGCGTAAGGTTGGTATTGCGCGATCTAATGTGAGCAGGGCTTGGTTAACAGGTTATTATTCAGTTACAAATGCTAAATCACAATGGTAAGCTACACGTTTGAACAACAAGTTAAATAATAAAGCTTTATTATCAAAATGAGTGTTTGTTAGTGCAAACGTTGCGTGCATTGCGCCCATTTTACGGTAGACGTGGTGGCCCTTCACAGTCTTCTTTTCAATGCTTCGTGGTAAAATTTGAAACGACCGGTTCGGTAAACAATCAGCCAACACCCGTAAGTTCAAGGAACGCAAGATCGGCCGAGTACATCGTCGCGGTTCCTGAAAGTGTATAGCAGAACCCCAGGCAGTCGATTCGTCTTGGTCCGTACTTTTTCGAAAACGACGCTGGTGAGGCGGTCTCCGTTAACGGCGAGCTCTACAGAACGATGATAACCAATTTCTTATGGCCCAAATTGAACGATATGAATCAAGACCACATCTGTTCTAACAGGACGGCGCTACGTGCCACACGGCGGACGCCACGATGGACATTCTTCATGAGCGATTTGAGGTTAAGCTTATTTCTCGCAGGGGTGATGTGTATTGACCACCAAGGTCATGCGATTTGACCCCGCTAGACTTCTTCTTGTGGGGTTTCTTGAAGTCGCAGATCTATGCAAACAAACCACAATCTACCGATGCCCTAAGGGTGAATATAACACAGGCCATTGCTCAAATTTAGTCAGATCTATGCAGAAGAGTCATTCAAAATTGGACTACTCGGATCCGTGCCACTGTAAGAAGCCGAGGCGGGTATTTGAATGATGTCATATTCCACACTTAATGTCCATTCCACACATGTGGGCCTTTTAAATAAAAAAATGAATTTTGTTAATACCTTATACACCGTTTGTTTCATTTTCAGTTTTCGTTTCAACATCTACCCATCCTTATTGAAAAACCTTTAATTATTTATTAATGAGCAATTAGCACTTACATTAACAGATTTTTTTTATTAAATTAACTGTACAGCCCACCTGAGAGTAATCGGTTTATGTAACCCATAGACGCTTAAAATCTACTTTTTTATAGAATAAGATTGACAAACAAGCACACAGTCCACCTGATGGTAAGTGAATGCTGTGGCCCATAAAGACATCTACATTTATCCTTGATTAAGAATCAAAATGCAGATGCGTTGTCACCCCTGAGGACTAAGATGGAATCCCTCGTTTCCATTAAAAATGGTTTCTGAATCTCTATACTCACCATACGAAACACAGCAGTTAAGCTGCTATTTTACGCTGGTATTCTGTGAGAGCGTGGTCCTTCCCTGATCGAGCCACGTATGAAAAAATTTCAAATAAAAGTTACAGATACGTTGCCACCTTAGAACTAACATGGAATGTCTTACAACCTGTTATTATACTGGCTCTCTATACTTATTCTTGCATCGTCGGCGGCCGAGTTGCAAATGATGGTTACATTAATGAACAGATCATTAAAAGAAATGGGTATGAAAGTGACCGCAAGTAAGACGAGTTATGGTTTTTGAAAGAGAACAAAGTAAAACGATATGTGAAATAAGAATAGAAGGGAGTTGATAGAGCAAGTAGATGAGTGTATATATGGGTTGCGTATTTAGCAGGGATGGGAGATATGATAAGGATATAGAACGACGGGTGAATGCAGGAAATAGAGTAAATGGGACCCTACATTCTATTGTGAAGAGTCAAGAAAGGCACGTATGACAATTCACAATGCTGTGTTGGTCCCTACTTTAACGTATGGTAGTGAAAGTTGGGTATGGCAAAAGAAGCACGAGAGTAGAATAAACGCAGTAGAAATGCGGTCGTTAAGGAGTATGTTAGGGCTGAATCTGAATGACAGGGTGAGAAATCGTGTGATAAGAGAAAAGTTTTGTTTGCAGTATGATGTGACCAGAATTAAAAAAAAATGCTTCGGTTTGGTCATGTGGAAAGAATTAATGAGGAAAGAGTGATAAAGAAATTTTATATATATAAGCAGAGTCGGAAAGGAACGTCCTAGGCGAAAATTTATTGACCAAATTAGCGACTTATTGAAAACGGGCCAAATTAGGAGTACCCTTAAGCAACAAGCATGTATACGTAGAGGCATATGGATGTGAAGGAGGCGAGAGAGGTGTGTCAGGATCGTGCCAAATGGAAGTCTGTAGTCTGTGCCTACCCCTCTAGTGACAGGCGTGAGTGCTTATGCTACTTCGGAGCGGAATACAGCAGTACACGCACTGCTATTTGACGGCAGAAATAAGTAAGAAGGTACCTACCTAGATGAACTAGGCAGAAAAGGAGTCAACTTGTTCTACCTAATGTTTTGAAGTGCGTAGGATATGTTTAATTACCACTCGAAACTCTTTTTCGTCCATTGTTTAGCAAATTTTCAGTGGCACCAGCGTTATCTTAGCCTTATCCTTAACAGCGCCATCCATACGTGAGGCTCGGGACTTTAGACCGATGTGTTGTTAGCCTAATTGTATTAACAGCTAAGCCATTTGGTGACGGTATAAGGAAATATTTCATCCCGTGAGCGTCGTAAGAGTCGGTCTAGCCATTTCGGATATTAGCCGAAACAAACAGACAGACAAACAGTAAAATTTAAAAAATATTTTTTTGTTATAAGTACCGTAAAAATACTTTCATATGCATTTAGTAAAAACACACTTCAATTTTACTTATTTGTTTGGATGTAAAAATTTAAACCAGCTAAGATTAGTGTCATAAATCTGGTACCGTGAACACCAATACGCCTACAAAACGTGGGGGGATCCTGTCATGGGAAAGCCATGTTCAGCAGTAGACAGCAATTTACGGAGTAGTGATGTTCAGTTTATATGATGTTGCAGGAGAGCAGTGGCGCGTCGCGCAACGTGACGCAGCTGCAGTACTCGGCGTGGCCGGACCACGGCGTGCCCGACGACCCCGCCGCCTTCATAAGGTTCACGCAGCTCTGCTCCAGCCTGAGGAACCATCGGGCTGGTCAGTATCTTACCATATAATTTCGTGATTCACTGTTAATGTTAAATCCTTAAAAATACTGAAGCTAGGGAGTATTAAACGTGATAGTGTGACGCTCCAGCTATATTATGATTGTAGCACGAATGAATCGGCACGAGGATAGAACCACGCTCTCACAGAATACCGGCGTAAAATAGCAGCTTAAGGGGAAATATAACCTCAAATGGCTTAGCAAGATCCTCCGTTATGCCGAAAATATTGTAGCATTAATTTTGAAATAAATATATGGTAAAGTTGATGGTTAATGTTAATGACTATGTTAGATAAAATACGATTCCGTAAAATTTTCTCTATAGAAAAAAAAAATCCAAAGTTACCTCCAAACTGAACAATAAACCGCTGTTATTCGTAAAATACTTTAAATAAGATCATGAAACTTTGCATACTAACTGAACTAACTATAAAGCAGTGCTTATGTTATTTACTTTTTCTTAAAACCATTATTTTCACTGTAAAAAGAAATTACCTAAACTATCGGCGTTTTGAAGCTTGATTCCTGCCGCCCGGTTAGCATCGCTTCGGCTTTTGAAGGGGGAAGTTGTGTCGCTTACGATCAGAATACACATTACGCAACAGGACGACGTAAAATTAAAATGGAAAATAACCGTAATAAAAATAAGTAGCGACTGGGTTGGCGTTAAGAAACAGGCATAAATATGATAAAAGTAATGAAATAAGTATCTAACGACCTATCTACTTACGGTATTAGTGCGGTTACGGCTCATTTGAGGTATAAGGGAAATATGTGAACCTTCTTTCGAATATTTAATCTCAGCTGCATTCGATGCATGCTACTGAATGACGAACAAAGCTTTGGTAACCAACTGATGGTTTTTAAAAGTCCTATTTCGATGGACGATTCGTCCTCTAGACTCTAGAGAGTAAGGATTCAAATAAAGCTAGTTTATTTATACGCAACTAAAGTCGTCCTTCCTTATGACTTACGGAGAACAATGTGCACACGCACACCTTTCTACGAGTATATACGGTTACGGGCTTGGGGTTCGAGACAATAAAAACTGCCGAGTGAATTATCAAAATTGACACTTTAATTACAGAACACTAATTACAACTTAAAACCACACTAATAACACACCATAATTGTAGGAAGTATTAGCTTGTATAGCTAATTCAATACTGGCTCTCTACTGCCTCGGGCTGCGGTCTATATCGGCCTTATATAGGGCCTCAGATAGTTCTAGAACCTTACATACATAAAATACATAAACACTCACGCCTGTCACCGAGAGGGGTAGGCAGAGACTACGGACTTCCATTTGGCACGATCCTGACATACCTCTTTCGCCTCCTTTACATCCATATATCTACGCATACATGCTCGTCGGTTAAGGGTACTTCAAACGTGGCCCCTTTTCAAAATATCGCCAATTTGGTCGATAAACTTTTTTCTAGGGCGTCCCTTCCCGACTCGGTCGTTCACATCTGCCATATAAATTTGCTTTGTCACTCTTTCCTCATTCATTCTTTCTACATGACCAAACCACCGAAGCATTCCTTTCTTAATCCTGGTCACAACATCATCTTGCATATCACATTTATTTATTCTAGAACCTTCTACTGTGGAAACATCTAGAATGTTCGAGTACATACCGGTCCTGACTAACTAGGTGTTGATAGTTCTAGAAAGTTCTTCCATGGAAACTCTTAGTTCTGCTACTCGATACTAGAAGGCGCTAGTGGTAATTAGTGACGCCATGTACCAGGCATTAATTTTGGCGCTCAACAATACTAATGACGATGGGTAATATAACATGCACTATCGAAGGTACACTTAGCGAAACGAGCCATTATAAAGATGAAAAAGCGAGCAACATATGGAAATGTCTGAATCCGTAGACTTTAATTAAAGAGCGCGAGACTTCATGTTTAACAGCACTCTCTTGTCACAAACTGGCACGCTGCGTTTAATCAAAAAGCTTGCTTCACGCTTTTCTCCGAAACGTTGTGGTGCATGTGACATCCTTCGCCACAAGTAAGAAAATAAAAATAAAAGTATGTTCGAATTGCAGAGCCTTGATCCGGAACTAAGTCCTCGCTGTAAATTCAGTAGTAGTATGCAAGTACTGTTTGATCTCTTTCGACCCTGGCTTCGGATGTGTTGATTGACATGCGATTTGCAGTAAAGGAAAACGTCGTGAGGAACCCTGCGTGTCTGAGAAATGAAACTATTTCAAAGGCATGTGAAGTCGCACGCACTGGGGTAGTGGGACAGACTAATTGCTCGAAAACTTAGAGAAATGAGAGGACGCCTGTGCCTAACTATGGGACGATATAGGTTGTAACTTTATTTTTACTGTTTTAATTGGCTGTATCCTTTACAGCACCCGTGGTCACTGGGGGACTGAGATGTTTGACGTCCCAATGTCATAGTTAGTCCGGCTACCTTCAGTGTTTGAATGTTTTTTGGTCCGATTTACGCAAAATGAGCTTATAGTATCATGAAGTCTTGCAGTGGTATGCTTGGGTTTAGGTTTAATTTTGTAAATTATAGGATCCCACGCAGCTGGCAGCACCCATCCATCTTCTCTATTGAAATTTGGATGTTATTTAATTTCAATAGCCTCGAGTATCATCCTTGGTAGGAATCGGTGTTCTTTTGCGAGGATTTGTGGTTTATCAAATCTAATGTAATGGTGGGGACGATCTTGAACATGTTCCCAGACTGCAGACTTCCCGGAGCGTCGGTGCTTCAAAAACAAATTAAATTTGAATTAAACGCGATAAAATCCGTAAATGATAGTTATATTCAATGTGTAGTGTTCGCGTAAATTTAAGAAATCGTAATGGCTATCGTTTATGTGTGCCTATAATAGCGTGAATTTATTATTGTGACACCTAGCACACCACGAAGCAATTTTTTTCGTCAATCTTAGAAGTTTTTTTTTTTAAATTAAGACAATAATATCTATTAGTAAGAATTCATGGAGCGTTTTCAAATAATCACGGTATTACTGCGACGTCTAACGTTGAGAAGCTAAATTTGCTCATTAATTCTAGAAACTTCTTTGATGAAAAGGATTATGATCTCTATTTTTAACAACTTATGGTTTGTACTCAAACGAATGGTGATTAATATAAAGCCTTCTTCTTTTATTTTTTAATAGTCAATCACGCGAAAAATATTGATATGTTGCACAATTGTCGATACACATTTATTTCTTGCGTATGTGTGTTTCGCGACAGTGGTTCTGTTTTAAATTATGCGTTTTGCTATTTCTATTGTTTTTTTTATATTTCTTGGTTAAAAAGTATTTTTTACAATTTTTGCACCTGTCAGTAGTTTTCTTTTTCTTGATTAGCAGTAAATATCAACCTTATTTACGTTTTATCAAGATTTTAAATTAAAAATCAATACTTTACATGCGCACATAATATTCACTGATAATGTGGCGTTAGTAAATTGATTACCTAATCACTTCATAACATCCTTATGAGCTCTGATCTCCAATGGATGCATATGGATGCATATTCATCTCGCTATAACCCAATACATGTATCGGAGACATATGACGACACTAGACTAGACGATAGACGTATGACATATAGTACCGAGGTTCCCAATCCGTCTGCCAAATATGTCAATTATGGGCGGGTCTTCCCTAGAAAGAGAGAAACATGCCGCTTGCTATCCATTACCTGAACTGTTTTTGTTTTCTAATTCTAACAATATACCCCGAAACGTAGCTTGCGTTCAAATTATCTTAATTATTTTTATACTAAAGAAAACATCATAAATGTGATGACCACAGAACACGCAATACAGCAACATTAACTATCATCTAGAATTATACTAGTTATCACTAATGGAATAATCGAAACAATTGCATTTGAAAAACAACCATTACATTTATAGAGGATTTAGGATAACAAGGAATTTCGAAGGAAAGAAATACTAGTTGTTGCTCTTACAACACGCCAAATGAAAGACTTACACAATAATAGGTCTTTACTAGAAATAGGCCGAATATTCGTTTCATATTCGGTATTCAGTGTATTCGGCATTCGGCAGCTCGGCCGAATATTCGGTCAAATCACCGAACATTCGTTAAAGTGGTACTCAAAGTGTCCACTGTATTGAAATGTACGAATTGAGTAATGCCATGTCTTTCATAATTTTACTGTTGAAAGTGTATTTTATTTATGGGTTAAATCTACTTGTATAGCGTTATATTTTTGAGGCACTGTAAAGAAAGCTTGATAAAATATTTTGGAATCAAACGAAGAAACATTACATTACATTAGTACATTTCACTTTAGTTTTGTCGTCAGGTTCTCTAAAATAAGGCCAAATAGTAGATAAAATAGTCAATACATAAGCATGTGCCGACAATTTGCTCCGCAATAGATGATGCAATAACATGTCAGGTGTGGCGGGGGAACGAGGGGCAGGGTCTGGCACTAATCCCGCGCGCCTTATGGTAACAAGTTTCGACATAAATTGGTTAAGTACCGAGGTGATTCTGCCGAATTTTCGGCTCGGTAAAAGATTTACCGAACTTTCGGCTGAATATTCGTATTCGGTGAAATCCATATTCTGGCCATTTCAAGTTAAAATAATTTTGTTTGGCTAAGAATTCTAATAGGTGTGACATGGACATTAAACATGATCTTTGTTTTGTCCATGTTCATCTTAAGACCTATCCGTTGCGAGGCACTATTGAGGTCATTGAGCATAGTGCTTAAGTCCTCCAGCGATTCTGCCATAAGGACTATATCGTCGGCAAATCGAAGGCGAGTGATGTACTCGCCATTGATGTTAATACCGTATCCTTTCCAGTCCAGTAGCTTGAAAACGTCTTCCAATGCATCGGTGAAGAGTTTACGGGGATATAACGTCACCCTGTCTTACACCTCTCTGCAGTTGGATAGGTTTCGAGCTCTGGTTCTGTACTCGGATAGCCATCGTAGCCCTACTGTACAAACACTTCAGCACTTCGATA